TTTTGCCGAAAACTAAATTTATGTAATAGAAAAGTGGGGATTTGTTAATGTTATAAAATTTGGTTGAATATAGTTCTTCCGTTGTAAGCAAATATCAGACAGTTTGTCCGAGTGGTCTAAGGCGCCAGATTTAGGCTCTGGTCCGAAAGGGCGTGGGTTCAAATCCCACAGCTGTCATTAATTGTTTTTACATTGTTAACATAAACCCCTTTTTAGTTTTTACTGTCTAAATTCAATTTTTATTTATTTTTTCAATAAAATGGTCACAACCTAACATTTTCTTAGTTTTATTACCATTTTGTTTTCTTTTGCATTTTCATTTTTAACCCTTTTTTCATATGAATTGCATTTCAATAATTTCTTGGTTCTTCAGCAACTTTGACATTTTGATCTGAGGTTATAAAAACCAAAAAATAAAAATAAAAATTTGGTTAAATCAAATGTGACATACTAATTGTATTTCACCCAATTTAGCAAAGCATGAACCTAAATTCATCCACATATATAAGTAAATATCTATTGGAGATAAAGGGAGATCATTAGAAACAAATCGAACAAATCACGTTTATCATTAAAACTAAAATCAGCGAAAAAATTAGTCACTACAATTGTCTACAAATTAGATAAAATATGTGTCTATGGTGTACAACAAAGTGAAAATAAAAAAGAGATTGTTTTTTTTCAGAAACGACCTCGACCCCTTCCTCTACCTCGACCCCTCCAACCTCCTCTACCTCTCCCTCCAGTTGTCGCGCCACTTAAGCCTTCGAATGCTCTGTTAACAAGTTGGTTTTGCACTCCACCTCGACCCTTCTTTGTTGCATTTGTGCCAGATCCATTTGCCGGATTAGCAGCTCGTTTTTTACTTCAATATTTCAAAAAATAAAAAAAGACGATTAAACCGAAAAAGTCGAAGCATAGAGGAAATAATGGTAAAAAAGAAAAGGATCTCTTTTTTTACTGCCATACCCAGTAGTAGTAGTAGCAGTAGCAGAAGCAGATGGTACTGCAACTTTAGTTACTTCTTTCCAGGATAAGCTAATTTTCTGGTCTCCGATAAATGAAGGCGCTTTTGAATGCAAAGGCTGCATCGAAGACCATAGTTTACACAATAAACCAATTAAAAAGGAGTAATTGTCAAAATAAATACAAAAAAAATTGGAGAGTAGGATAGAGAAATGTGGAAAGTTGTTCTTTCTTATCCACTACTATCGTTTCATGCAGGTGGACACTCAATAATTTTTTAGGCGAATTCGGAAATGAGATTTTTTTCATACTGCAATTATTGTTTGTTGCATAAAGTGTATGTATAATCATTTAAAGGTGTTTGGGGGAAGCTATTCATTCACCTGGGCCATTGCCAGTATATTGTTGCAGGTTCGTTGGCCAGCTGTAGCATTCTGCTTCTGCTTCTTCTGCAGGAAATGACAAAAGAAAAATTGAAATTAATCCAACTAATGAACCCAAGATAATACGCATGCAGGCTGCAGTATAATCGTTAAAATAAATAAATAATAATAAATAAAGAATTAAAAATTAGTAATAATACTACAGGGGTTATGGGAGCAAAATGCACGCTAAGGGAAAACTCACAATTGCTTCTTTTTCCTCTTCGGTCTTTGCAGCTGTCATTGCTTTGTTGTGCTCCGCCATCCCCTGAGTCAATTTCTTATTCATCGCCTTAGCTAAATCCTCGATGATGCTCAATCTATTTCATAAATAAAAAACAAGTCAATTATCTTTGCATTTATCTCTCTCTCTAAGTACAAGTGTATTATACTTTTAAGATAGAAGTATCACAGCACATATACGTAATTCGTTTCATCACAGTAAAACATTAAAGGAACATTTTTCAGTTTTTCAATTACCTCTCTGTAAAATCTTTATATTGTTCCGAAAAATCTTCCCCAAGCCTGTCTGATGGTTGCCCAGTGACAATCTTGTAGCCACAGAGGCTATTTGTGACATTCGGAGTCTACAGTATTTAAGCGTGTGAGGTATCCAATTTTGTAATTAAAATATAATAACTCAACATAGTCGCCATTATTCTTACCTTACTAGCTAAATGGTGAAGTGCATACAACAAGCACTCGATACAAGTGAAATTTATCTCTTCAATCTTTCTCCGAACCATGTATATCTGTGAGATCGAGAGGGAACAAAAAAGAAGTAATATTTAAAAAAGATTTACAGTAATGAAACGTGAACAAAATATGGGAGTAGAAAGTGCAAAACACCACGACACACGAAACAGAAAATATGCACGCTTTTTATAAGTTACCTTTAAAAGTTGAACAACTGATGGAAGAAGCAGCCTTGAATCTTGTGGTTTAGCATATAATGAACATTCAGCAAGGTTCTTGAGCAAATCTAATTTTCGTTCTTCAGGAATCTGATGGAGAAAAGATAAAATTATAAAAGATAAACCCAAAATAATTTCGTAACACTGCTGATACTCTTTAGCTGATAACTATCAATTGTGAAACAGAAGTTGTGTATACCCAAGAAAGTAACAAGCGAACAACTGATTAGGGGTTGCTGGCTAAAAACTTTATACAATCATCGGTACAACCATCCATTTATGCAGTTTGAGCATTACCTTGTCAAAGACAGGGATAATTTGCTTTGCCAAATAGCTGACGAACTTATTGCTCGAAGCACCTCTCTGAAATCACATGTATACATGAGGTCAACATATGCAGAGAAAATTTATAATTTAAAAAATGTGGAGTTGTGTATACCTTGAAAAAAGGGAGGGCCATCTCTAGACAGGATATGAATCGAAGAATGTGATCAACGTCTGAAACCTGTACGCATAAAAAGGTTAAATTAAGATGAATCCCAAATAATTCGCATCCATAAATCAAACCAGCATTTGCATGGAAGAAGATATAATATATGATAGCTATGAAGGACAACAGTAGCAACTATCTCCTGTAAAGAATGCAGTAAGTAGCCTTTCGACTGACTTACAGATCCAATAATAGGATAATGCAACATAAAAAAAGAGACCGCGTTTGTTACGGAGACAAGATAAAACATTACTCTTAAAAAAGACAAATGGTAGGAACGGTTTATTGTGTCATTAATAAATTATGCCGTAAATAGAAGGCTTTAAAAGAGTCGGAAACAAACAGTCAACTAATGGAAAGCAGATATATAGGCATTTTGACAACAGAACATACATCAAATTGAGCATCCAGATCAGTCTGGCCCTCAATAATCTCAACAAGTTCTTGAACACGCTCCACAGGAGCATTCTGCCCAAATAAGCTCAAACTTTTCAAGAAGTCCATGAACAATATAAATTCAGCTCCCGTCACGTCATGCAAATTCTGGAACAGCAACAACATTGTCAGAGAAATGTTCAAATGGAGTAATTAAGGCTTCCAAAGAATGGCATTTCAGATATCGTGACTAATGAAGTCAAAACGAAGAAATGGGTCGAAACAGAATATGCAGATATTAAAGGACACATTCAGTTAAAATTTCCGATGCTACACACCTGCTTCACCAAATTGGTTATATGCCTCTCCATTTCATCCTTCGGCTTCAACAGCTCTTCTTTAAGGGGAAACACCTGATAATAGATAGACTCCTTTAGAACTTTGGGTCTTCCAAAATCATTAGAAATCAAAATTCATTCTCCAAATCAGTGAACGCCGCCTTACCTTATCTCTAATAAAGTAGAGAACCTTATCACGAATGCTCTCCCAAGCAGACCATCCTCTGATTTCGATCCTCAGTGCTTCCTAGGTGCTTAAATAAAGCTGTTAATGAAGCTGCCACACACACACAACAACTTCACACAATGCACTTCTGTACACACAGAGTATAGGTTCATTATATATATATATATATATATATATATATATATATATATATATATATATATATATATATAGGTGCATAGTCAAAGGCCTGATGCAAATGATTATATATTTTCTATTTATGAAAGGCAAGAAAGTGATATAAAAAAAGTAAAAATAAAAATAAAATAAAAAAAATAAAGCAGATCAGGCATTACGGGGCGGACTTGCTAACAGCCAAGTTATGTTTGAATTAAAATTCACATGGGCGGACTCTCCACAATACAACGGAGCTTCAAACAGAAAAAGATGGCTAACAGATTGTCTCCTTCCCACACAAAAAACACTTCCCAGCTATGCATTCACATTCATGAGCAAATCCATTGTGATAACATATTCACAGTTCTAAGGACTTCCAAAAAGCTTTCCAAGTTAAAAATCCCGGCCTACCAAGGCAGAAGGGCATTATTATGTAAGCATATCTTCAAAATATAGGTCCATAAAAAACATGTTCAGAAACATTCAGATCGTGAGTATAAACCAAGAACTGATCTGAAACTCCTCTTCATTGAAATTTCAATTTAAGGTCCTATGTATAATCCCAAGTGACCTAATGCATTTTGTGCAGATGAATCACATTTATAGCAAAGTAACAAAAACAAAAGGGAATTCATTTCTCAACACTCAATAGTCCATGATCCACCCAGCAGCCACTCCAGAAGATCCTCCTACTCTAGCCACCTTGTAGCTAGTATGTCTCATGGAGTCCAGCTCAACTTCCTCTAATACTTGTCAATTGAAAAGCACCATGTGTACAACAAACTAGATTAGATACCTGACCTTAAAATGATATCCCACAGTTCGCTAGCAATGAACCCCTGCCACAGCATTAGTCACCATTTCCGGCAAACTCAGATAACTACAGTGCAAAGTAAGGCACACTAGGTGAAAACTAACCACAAAGTCCTCTTTAGCACCTCAGAAGTTAGTTACTGATAAACTGAAGACATATAAAAGTCAAAAGATGGGAGAATGTTTTCAATAAACGTGTTTGGTAAGGGAACAACGTCTTTAGAAACCTAATGCTTCTTGATGAAAATCTCCCTTCAGATTTCAAGAACTTATCCAACAGACCGTACGTCTAAGAGCTAAAGAACGATAGCTTGAAATGAACCAACAGTAATTGCTCCATGATACTCCTTAAGCACGAGTTACCATTCTAGATCCCACCTAATGGAGAGAACCTAGTCTGACAGAATTATATGCAGGTCAGAACTGCTTTCTGACAGCACCACCCGCAAAAAAAGCATTAGCTCGCTTCTTCATCAAAATTTATCCCCGTCATGTTTCAACTAATTCCAAACTCTACTTGACGTTCTAAAGACCATTATCCACCATTAAGGCGAGATGCTGAATTCTCATGTATTGCCTATCAATGCCTAAACTATAATATGTCCAAGACAATTATATTCGATCCAAGGGTAACAAACGCAAAATAATCAGTGTTCCAAAGAATATTTCTAAACAGTTCGAAGTTTTAATAGATCATGTGATATATTATAAGGCTCAGATGGTATCAGCGAAAAATGAAAGGATAAAACAGAAAAAATATATCATGTGATGTCATTATTCTTCCATGATGATTTATTTTACTCATCTTTCAACTACTTCCGAGCATTACATCGAACATCCTAAAGATATTATCCACCAGTATAGCAAGATGCCCAATCACCTGTTTATGTCTTCACATAAACCAAAACTCTAACATGTCAAATAATATTATATCCGGCCCAACAGTTGCAAACACAAAAATCATCAGCTTCCTATAGAATACTTCTGAACAAACTATACTTTAAAAATACCATGGGATATCTCAATGCTTGCTTGGTCAACGAAAAAGAAAGGAAGAACAAAGAAGAAAAAACAAATCGATAATGCTTTTTATAATAAAATAAAAGTAAATTCGTCGATTTAGGACTTACTCTTGACATCCTGCCGCAACAGAGACATAAGGGCTTTATGTACTGCATCACGCTCCTTATTTTCTCCTAATCATAACCAGCAAAGGTACTCATGGAATCTAAACAGTTGAAATAATCAATTTAAAATCTTACTACATGCATCGAAGACTAAATTACCAGCAATGAGGAGTTGCGCAAGGACGTCAACAATTTTTTCAAGATGTTCAGGTGTATCCTTGCAGAAAAGAGGAAGCCCGCGAATTGTTTGCACTCGCACCTTCATCAATAAACAAAAACAACCACCAAAAATCATTCAGATATATATGATGCCTTCAGGACAAGAAACTACCCTCTATTTAATTCTATTCAAAAAATATAATCTCCTTCCCTCCCCACGAGCTAAAGGGCAACAATTTAGCAACACAGGACTCAAATAACCCAATATTTTACACATCCCTCTGAATGAAACACACAGAAGGTATAGAAAAACTGAACACGAGAACATGAGTGTTTGTATGGAATTGAGGTTTTCAAACATGGCAGAGGCAAGACATCAATAAAATTAATGGCTTACTTACTTCCTCTTTCCCTTCCCATCAAACCCAATTTACCGAATAGATAAGCAAATTCTCGAACGGAGAAGGAAAAAAAATAAAAATAAAATCCTGAGCAACTAAATCCAAGAAACTCCGACACATTTTCAATTGAGTTAGTGTCACAGGTTACTAAACTACAGTAACAATTTTCCTCCTTTCTAATATACAAATACCTAGCGAAAAAAAAAGGGGGGCTCCAAAATCCAAATAGTAAATCACTTACAGCAATATCCTCATCCACGCACAAATCCATTTGTCGGTCCAGAGCTCGGTCGGAAAGCTCGGGGAAAAATTTGAAAAACTTTGGTATCATTTGTGCCGCCAGCTGCTTTGCCTTAACGCTGCCATTTGCAGCAGCAATTATCCCCTCGTAATCACTCTTATTCTGCTCCCAATTACCAAACACAAGACACAAAATGTAACATCTTATTTCAACTTTAAACAAATGCAATTAAAAACATGAACATTTCAGGCAGAAAAAAGAAAAAAGAAAAAAAAAAACTGGAAAGAGGTAAACTAACCTGCGACTTGTCTTTGGCTTCATTGAGTCTCTCTCCGAACTCGTAGAGCTTCTCGATGTCACTAGAATCGTCCGCCGCTCCCGCCATTACTTGTTTAGATTACTGCGGAAGGTCTGTCTGGTGTGTGTGTGTGTGTGTGATTTTGGGGAAAGGGGTTAGGGTTTTGGGGAATGGATTGAATGAGGTTCAGAGAGAGAGAGAGAGAGGGAGAAACCTTTATTTTGAAGAGGTTGGGAAAAAAAAAATAACCCGTTTGTGAGATTTGTAAAATTTCTCGGTTTTTTTTCTAATTTAATAATTAACAATTAATAAGTACTAACAATAAATATTGTTTGTTTTTTGAAATTTGGCAAATTACGGCCACCCATAAGGTAAGGTCAAATTACGAAAATACCACTCACATATCAACTATGTATTGTGATACTTGTGTATTCTTACAGTGTCAAATTTACATAGAGGTGTTCATCTGGTTTATAAACTAAGGAACTGTACCGAACGAAAATTCGGTACATGTTTGTTACCGAACCGGTAATTCAGTATGATATTCCATTTTTTCATTATTTTATATATATAATTATATATGTAAAATATTAGTATTTAAACAAAAAAAATTCAAATTTTTAAATATTTTTAATTAAATTTCTATAGTTCGCTTATCTACCGAGCCGAAAGCTAAACGGTATGAAGTTTTGGCGTACTGAAATTTCAGTACATTTTTTACCGAATGAACACTCCTAATTTTATTATTGATAAAAAAAAACACTTAATTTTACCACCTGGAGGGGTTTTTTCGTAAAATAATGCACAGTTAAGTGGTGGTTGTAATTATGGGGGTTTTCGTAATTTGCGCTTACTTCAGGGGTGGCCGTAATTTGCCCTTTGAAATTTTAAAGGGGTGTATATCGATTTTGCACTATTGAGGGGGTTAAAATAAAAACAATGAACTTTAAGAGGAGTGAATTGATATTTACGTATTTTTAAATCTGGGAGACTATATATAATGAACCGCAACCTGAAACTCGGCGGCTAAATCTCAGGGTTCCCACGGCCAGAAGCGGCAGCTCCTCCCACCCCCTTTATCTCCGTTCGCCGCTTCCGCCGCTAGCTAAAAACCCTAAAAATCCGAAGCTATTTCACATGGCCGAACAGGCTTTAACGGAGTCCAACCGCGAGATAGTAACAGCCGTAACGCCCAAAAAAATCAACCGAATACCACTCAGGAAACTCAGCGAGTTCGAAGAGCGCGGCGGCGGAAAATTCTCGCCGGAGGCAAAAAAAATCAGGCGAGCACTGCAGTCTGTGAACGCCCCAAGCTATTGCCTGAAGGAAGGCGTTGGGAGCTTGAAATGCGTGGACGAAACCCTTAGGCATCAGCACCGGAACAGGCTGACGTGGCTACTCGACGAGCTTATCCGGCGGCATAACTGGGCGGAGGCATGTGGCGTGCTGAGCGTGTTGCTCCAAGGTACGATACGAGACAAGTCCTTGAGGAGAAACCGCGCCAAGTATTCGGTATCGATTTATAAACCACGACCTTTTTTATTTAGTTAGGTTAATAATTTGTTTTTGTGTTTTGTGCAATTTGTAGGCATACATTTTATGACTTAATTTTGATGTTTGGATTAGAATTTGATGGTCTATTTATCATTTGATTTCGTGAAGTATTGAAAAACGATAGAAATTGTTTACGATTTGTGAGTGATAATAGCATATAGTTGAATGCAGAACCATAGACTTCTTATCTAGCAAAAAAAAAAAAAAAGAATGTGATTATTACGTTTGAAGGCAACAGCGATAAAGTGATTTTTTGAATAATCAAACTGATTTTTATCATAGTTTCCAACTGATTTTACAACTTACTTGCTTTGTAGACGATTGGATATAATAGATTTTACTTCATGGTAGAAGCTTGAAAATTTAATTATTTTTACGATCTTTCTTATTTATGCTATAGCTTCACACGTTCCTCCCTCTGATTTTTTTGTTGAATTCCCAAACACTCGTAATTCTTTAATGTACTTTATCGGTATGTCATATTAGTCTACCCTTTTATATTTATAAGTCAACAAGTTATGTTATAAGTTGTTCCGAGTTACTTTCGTTGCGGTAAACAACTTTGTTAAATGTTCATATTCAAATTTCTGAAGGTTGCATTGGAGCTACTCAATAATATAAAAGGTGAAACTATGAGCCCAAAAGACATTCAGGATGTTTATGCCCTGTGGAATGCAAAGCTCGGATCTTTGAGGAATTGGTCAACGAAGGTATAATGCAGAAATATACACGATCGTCTGACAGAGATTTGCTACATGATTTCCATCTTAAATCATGAAAAAAAGAGATACCGAACTGTATACCCTATTAAATTCTTCAATGTTTCCAAGTTGTTTTTATCGAATAATAAACAAGTTTTTGTACCTTGATAAACTCGGCAATATCCATGTGCAAAACCCTGGTAAATTTTGCACAGCTAGGAGAAGCTAGTTTCGACTTTCTTGATGTATTTATGCACATTCTAAAAAAAAATTGATGCATCTTTCATAAGTTCTTAAAATTCTGTAATTACTCTGATATACTACATTAAAATTCTGATGACAGGATAGGTTTGCGGTGCGGTTGGAGTATATTCTTACTTGTCTACAAAATGGGATTTTGGAGGAAGCAAGAAAAGCCGCTCATACGTAAGTAAGGTTTATTTGTTTTCATGTGCACCAGTTTGTACTAAATTCAAAACAGTGGTGTACCTCTCATACGAATCTATAATCTGTGTAAATATACCTAGTCTCGTATAAGAAATAGCCGATCGCAAAATGCTCTCCGCCATTGTAAAGTTCCATTATTCTCTCTAGATATAAAACTATTGACACACTGTTGATCAGTCTCAAGCAGGTGCGCGATGTTAATAGTGATCCTGTTGCAAATTTGGTTTTCGGGTTGGGATTTTGTCAGCAGTGGTATTCCGGTCTTCGAGACGAGTTTCGCTTGACAGAGCTGGACTTATCCGGCACCAGTATGCCGTCAGTAGTTCCTGCGGAGGGCATTCACCAGCCAGTTGATTACTCTAACGAAAACGATGCTAATTCCACCGTACAGTGTGACTCGAGCACCTCTGTGGCAAATGATAAAGTATTCGAAGATGATGGTAACCGGCAGATTGCATTAATGGAAATCGACAGCATTACGAAAAATGAAACTTCTCGTACGAGTTATCAGCCGCCAGAAGTTGACATGGAGTTAGCTGAACCCGGTGGGAATAGCAATTGTTACTCCCCTGCTTATTGTGGCGACCTTCCTCGTCTCTCTATTTTCTACGCCCAAGGTAGATGTGAAACCCTCTCGTCTCTTCCTTTTATTTCCCACACTAGTAATTCTCCCCGTGCGATGCACGGGATTGCAAAAAGGAAGAAAATTTAAATATACGATAATTAAATTGTATTAAATAAATAGAGAAAAAAAGCTGGAAAATAGGCGATGAAAAAATACTAATAATTAATATTAAAAAAATTGCAAATATGCCATTAGGGTTTCTTAGGTTGCCCTAGAGTATCTTACTTTTATAAATAAGATATGTCGATGAAGATTTCTATGTACTAACTTCTTTGTATTTTGTTCAAACATAGGACTACCCACATGGCTATTTCCTATGAAATTGCCCGCTTCTCATGAAAAATTGGAGGATGAAATGAAGGAGCACAGAAGGTTGCTTAACGATGACCATAAGAATGCGTGGAAAGTGTTTACGTGTTGCTATTACTCAAATCCCACCGGTAGTGGAGGCTGTCCACCCTTTAATACAGGTATTTAGTGTAAACTGTTTGGTATGTGTCATTTCATTACAGTACTGAAAATAAGACCTTTTATCTCTCTCATGGAAAAGTCATAATTTTAGATTTCAACCATCATGCCTGAATCCCGACAGTTTTGTGTTTATATTTGTCCTCTCTCGTTATCCGCGCTTGTAAAAAAGGCTATCTATATTGAATTGTGTGGTGTTGGGTAATTATGGCAATACTAAATATGTAAAAGTAGCTCCCTGTATTAGCTGCTGTGATTTTCTTCTATATCGATGTCCATATTACTTGGGTTTGGAGAAGCCATTTTTTTTTATTCAACTCAATTTTCTGATAGTGGGTGTAATATTGAGGAACACGAGCTTTGATAGCTTCGTTTCATGAATTTCATCTTCTGGTCAATTGCTAATACCTCAGGTTGAGTTGATGCTGCAAAAAAATAAAAATAAAAAGCAAATCTGCGAATATCATGTTGTCGCACTATCCTTCTTGTATGTTTTCCGCGATATATTTGTTGTCAATTTCTCGTTACTGTATGTATTTAAGAAAAAATCTGATAAGGAGAAAAGAAGAGATGTAAAAACGGAAAAGTGACTGCAAGTTATTATCAGTACCATACTTGCATGTATTTTCCAATTGGGCTCGAAGGCATGTGTTCTAAATGGCCATCATTTTTCCTTTGTTGCTAGATGCTACTTCTTGGAGATCATGTCCACGAGGCCTTTGATGAAGTCGAAGCTTTACTTGATACTGATATCTCGGATAGGCTACTCACACTAAGGTAATGTTTCTTTCATCTCGATTGCACAAAGTCTTCCCTGTAAAAGTCTATGTATGCATATGTGTGTTAACAAATAGTACGATTCTTCCGTTGCAGACTGAAAGCAGGTCTCTTGGAGCATTTTGATAGTGGCAATTATATCAAGCTATGTATATGCTACGAAGAGATTCTGAAGAAGGATCCGACATGCAGCGACGCCTTGGCAAAACTTGTACTCATGCATCAGCTTGGTATGCTATCGGTTTGAACTTATATCCAAAACTTTCGACTCTTTTATCCGTAATAATATATATCTTTTACTTGAACGGGGATAGTCAGCAAGTCCAGTAGAAACATATTCTTCAGTGTCAAGGTTTTCTGACGTATTATTAAAAAAAAAAAAAAATTACTAGTGTTCAAATTTGTCGCGAAATTCAACGAGTATGTATGCATGATGCCACTTGGAGATATCTAACTATGTGAAAAATCTGCAAGTGCTTCAGAATTACACATGTTATATGCATATTATTTGAGGAATCGATAGCGGAAAAAGAAATAAAGGCCATTTTAATTTTTATCTATATATTTTCTTCTAAAAAAATGATGTGATCGCTTATAGGTAGACAAAAATTCAACTAGGGTGCTTTTTCGATTTGTTGAACAAAATTTTTTTTTTTTTTTTTTTTTTACTGAAACGCCAGGAGAATACGGCACTCAGGATATGGTGGAAATGGTAGCCTTACACTTGGACGCTTCGTATGCAACGTGCGACACCTGGCAGGAGTTAGCATCTTGCTTTTTGAAACTCTCTCAATGTGAAGGAGATAGAGAGTCCAATTGTGGTGACGCTGATCAATACAGTCAAGGGTATTTAGATCACGCAAACAAGATTCCGGAATTACTCATCAATGGCGAATCTGGAAAAGCATGGAAATTGCGTTCCAGGTGGTGGCTCAACCGCCACTTCCATAAAAGTATTCTAATGTCCGATGCTGCATCAGGTAATCAAATTTTCCGTCTGTCCTTTTTTTACTTTTTTTTATTATTTTTAATTAGCTTCCGTAAGTTGCTTCATAAAGGCTTATTACCTATATGGTTATATTACTAGGGGTGAAATTGGAAAGGAATTGGAACTGAAATTTTCCGATTCTGCAACAATATTTTTCATTCCGAATTCCGACTTTTTCCTCAATCTTTTGGATCGGAATTGGAATATATATATAAGATTCCTATTTTCGATCCGATTTTAATTTCCGAATATAATTCCGATATTTTCCGGAAATTACATTTATAATATCAATATATTGATTACTATGCACTTTATATTTTATTTTAAAAAAATTGGAAATTTCCAAATTCCGTCAAATCCAATCCAAAAATTTCCGATTTTGTAACATTTTTTTTCATTCTAATTAGCGAAATCCTGATTCCAATTTTTCTGATATTTTTTTTTTAACGAAATTAGAAATAGTTTTTCACTTCCGAAAAAAATCAGAATTTTTCCGAAAGTACTAATTCCAATCTGATTTCCACTCCTACTTTAATTACATTTAGTGCTCAATATTAGTAGGAGGTCTACAATATAAATTGAAAGATTATTCACATACAACCAAAATAGGACAGGGTATTACACTACTTGGTATTGTTAATAAGTAGATTCAGCAGAGAACCTTACAATACACAGTTAAACGAGTTTTATGGTGTTTCTAGAATATAAAATTTATCTGTGCTTTTGGTTCGGTTTTACCTTAAATTTTTGCATGCACTGTTTCGAGTTTTAAATTCCCCCGATTGAATACTCAGGTGATTTGAAGCTTTTAACGTACAAAGCAGCAGCAGCTTCACATATATACGGACGGCATTTTGATTACGTGGTGAAGGCCACCGAATGTATAGAGCAGAAAAACGATATGGAACTTTATTCTTTATTACAGACTCACATTCTCAATTCTGTTGGATTTTGTTCTGTAAAGAGGAATATTTGTTGATATATATATGTATACATGGGGCAGTTTGTCTGAACTCTAACGGCAGTAGATTAAAAAGGGCTAAACTGTGAATACTAAAATGTGTGTGGTTCAAATGACAAAAGTTGAAAGAAGTTGGGTGGTGGTTCATATAAAATTGTTTGTATCATTAGATTTGATCATGATATACTCTCTTTGAATTAGGATTGGGATATGCTATTAATTAATATTTTTCTAGATTAATGAACTTTTGTCTAAGTTCAAAGTGTATAAATATTGGTGAGGCATAAGTGGCTTAAATCACAAGTGAACGAATAGAATGAGTTTGGAATTAAGTCAGTCCGAATAGGAAGAAGCGCACACGATCCGATAAACCTGAAAAAAACGAGTGCTGAAGAAGGGCTTCGAGGCGTTAGCACTTCGAAGGTCAAGTCAGTCGGGATGGTGAAAAAATAATACATATTTGTTAGTTACGCACATATTAAGAAACGCAACTAATATACATGGATAGTAACAAAAATATAGAAAATCACTAAAATGTCATTGTCATTGATTGATTTTTAAGTAATTATCTTTTAATTAATTATGAGTGATAAAGGATAAAATTGAAAAAAAAAAATCGCAATTAATGATTCATTGGAATAGTATAAGGACAAATAAATTGAAACATTAAAAAAATGGACAAAGTGACAACTAGTAAGAGAAGGAGGGAGTCAGAATGAGTGTGTATTAGGAATCCCGGTGCATCTTTCCCTTGTGCCTCAAGACTTTTATACTTGCCATAAGAATGGGGTTGTTTGTCCTTATGCTCGTTTGCATTGTTTGTCTTTATGCTCGTTTGCAAGGAAGGTTTGGGCGTTAAGTGGAGTGGCATGGTCGATTCATTGGTTGAATAATTACTCACTTATGGATTGGTTCACGCAAATGAAGAAGAAGCTTGATAGAACTGAATTTGAATAGTGTTGTGGTCTGCTGGGCTATTCGGCTTGCTAGAAACAAGAATTATATATTTCGAGGAGGCCAGCCATTCAACTCTTGACATTATCTTGCTCGCTAAGAATTTTCTTATGGAGGTGCGAGGGTCTGTTTCTGAAGTGCTTTGTTCAAAACCTCCATTACAGATGCAAACATCGAGTATCAAGTGGGAGGTTCTAATAAGAGACGAGGTGAAAATTAATGTCGATGTTTTCTCTTGCTTCGGTGAAACATGGGTGCAGGCTAGGGGTTTTGGCACTGACCTCTAATGGAAATTGCTTAGCTTGGTTTTCTATATATTGTCCTCTTTTAATTGATCCTACTTCAGCCGAGGCTATGGCGGCTCTCAAAGCTTTGGAATTCGCTCAAGACAACAATTGGAGGAGAGTCAGGGATGGAAGCAGGATCAAAATGTAGGGGGAGCTAACTAAAATTTCAGGGTTCGGGGCAGCGCCCCAAAAAAAATTTTAGGTTCACAATACTTTGCAAAAATAAGTTTATATTGAATCTTTTTTAATTAAAATGACATGTTTATTATAATTTTATCATATTTTAAGCATGACAAAAAATCTAAATTATTCTAATTATGTATCGTACTTAATATTTTGGTGATTCATTGCATCGTCTCATATTATTATGTAGAGTCATTGATAAAAAAAATTAAAAATTAAGTAAATATTCATAAATTTATTTAAAATAATAGAAGTTTTAACCATTTTATTTTAATTTTTTATATTAAATATGATATATATATATATATATATATATATATTATATATATGGAGAAGAAACAAAAAAGTTAAGGATTAAAACACATATTTACAAAAACTTTAGGGGGGCCAAAAGTAATATTTAAAAAATAACATACCAAAATACCTAATTTTTTTTTTTTTTTTATCTTGGGGGGTCAACAGCCCCCATGCCCCTTCATAGTTCCGCCTATGAGTAGAGTAGTTTTGGAATGTGATTCTAGCACTATAGTTGCTACTATTGTTGGAGAGTTCGGTAGTCACACAATCTATGGGAATGTTGACATAAAACGCTTAGCCAATACATTTGAAGTGTTCAAGATTCATCACATTAAGAGAGAAGCAATGTGCGCGCGCAGCCCATGAAATTGCTAGGCTTTCATCCATAGGTTTTTTTATGTTGAACGGGGTTGTGCGTCTCCCATTTTATTGTTAGACCACACGTGGGAGTGAAATGACCGTTCGGGACCGTGATTGTCTGCTGAAGGCGAGCTCTCTCGCAATCCACAGTAATATGATTTAAGAAAATGATTTCAAACATAAGTTATTTTTATGCTACACCAATGTTGGTGTGTGTGTTTGCGTATGTATCGACGGTAAAGATCTACCCAGTGTATTTCACCTGGTGTAGCATAGTATAAAGCTTAAAAAATCCTCAATAATTACTTCAAAGTTTAAACCACCAATCCGAATTAGTAGCTAAGTATTTGAAATTTACTATACAATAAATTCATTTTACTATTAACTTAATATCCTTAAACACCACTTTTGTTTTTATTTTTAAATTCAATATTTTTTAATTATTTATCCCATATTCATCGCACAAACTCATATCCATTAGCAACTATTTAGCAGTAAAAGCCAGTAGCAGCTGGCAGGCGTTACCACCAACAAAAACCAACCCAATTTATTCCTTCCCCCTTTTGCTTTTAATCACTCTCTCTCTCTCTCTCTCTCTCTCTTCCACCGCCACCGCCGCCGCCGCCGCCGAATTTCCTCACAATGATGCAAAATCCTTAAGGATCTCACTCGCAGATCAGTATTTTCATTGAGCGGAAATGGCGGGAGGGTACAGGACGGACGACGACTACGATTACCTGTTCAAGGTGGTGGTGATCGGAGACTCCGGCGTGGGGAAATCGAATCTGCTGTCGAGATTCACTCGGAACGAGTTCAGCTTGGAGTCGAAGTCCACAATCGGCGTCGAGTTCGCAACTCGGAGTATTCAAGTCGACGATAAAATCATCAAGGCTCAGATTTGGGATACAGCTGGCCAGGAACGGTGATTACTACCTCTCTCTCTCTCTCTTCCTCCTTTTTTTAATAAATAAAAAATTATTATCACACAATTATTTCCTTTCGTTTTCCCGATTCGAACAAATTTGATTTTTTTTTTTATTTTTTTTTATTATTAAAGTTGTAGATTGAGTAATACGCGCCTGGATTTAGAAATTTGCCAGTTTTTCGAGTTTTTTTTTCTCTTGATGATAACAATATTTTGGGACAGTGTAAAAAATTTGCTGTGTTACTGTGGCAATTATTCCTACATGTAAATTGATGTAGTAGCTATTGGCTCAATTTGCAAATCTGCTTTTATATATATACATCCACAATCAAAGGGGTTTAATTTAGACTGTAACAACTGTTCTAATTGTAGTGTTAAGTATAATTTGTAGTGTTAAGTACAGTTAAACCTCTATAACTTAATACAGTCGGGACTAGGGAAATTCTATTAATTTAGCGAATTATTAAATTATCGAGTTCATAATTTAACATGTTTTCACCGAGTCGGGAATTTAATCGAGGTTATTAATTTATCGAGGTTCTACTGTAACTGCATCTACAAAGTCGAACACCATTTTCCTCGAAAAATTGGAGGAAAAAAAAGAACCAAGCAAACTTTGTTATTTAAAACCCTTCGTGTGTTTTTTTTTTGCCGTGGGCTTCAATCAGAAGTAATGCTACTTTCTTTTGGATTACTTGTAATTCTATTTGGATACCGTGTGATGTACATTCATCTAAAATTCTACTGTTTGTCGAGCACCACCTTTCTTGAAAAAGATAGAAACACAAAGCGGAATTTATTTGTTGAGAAAACTCAATTGATATTCCGGTCCCTTCTTTCTAGGTACCGTGCAATCACAAGTGCCTACTATCGAGGTGCCGTTGGAGCGTTGCTCGTTTACGATGTCACCCGCCACGTCACGTTCGAGAACGCCGAGAGGTGGTTGAAAGAGCTTCGAGACCACACCGACCAGAATATAGTGATCATGCTCGTGGGCAACAAGGCCGATTTACGTCACTTACGAGCTGTGTCGACCGAGGGCGGAACGGCCTTTTCCGAGAGGGAGAAGACCTATTTCATCGAGACATCTGCACTCGAGTGGAGAGAGCCTTTACGGAGGTGCTCAATGAGATATACCGTGTCGTTAGTCGGAAAGCGCTCGAGGTTGGAGAGAGTCCCGCGGAGTTGCCGAAAGGGGAGAATGTGAATGTCGGTTCGAAAGATGTGAAGAAGGGTGGTTGTTGCTCTGTGTGATCGTGCGCGTAATTCAGTGTAAGTTTTTTGTGGGTTTATTGCATTCGACACCCTGTATTTTCTCTGATTGTTAGAAAACTCCCCGGGTTATATTATTAGCACAAAAAACCCCATGATTCGACTTTTAGTCTCTTTTTAGGGGATTGTGTGCTAAAAGAAAGGCATTAAAGGGGTTTTTTTTTTTGCTAGTATTTGTAACATGGGGAGTTTTTTTTAGCAATTTGATACAATACAGGGATACTAAATGCAATAAACTCGAGTTCTTTAACTAGTGAGATAGTTGGCTTTTCGCCACGTCGTGTTATTTTACTAAAATGACTCTTTTGCGGGTTTTTGTGCCGTGTTATGCTTAACGAAGATGGATATTTCTATGCGTTATATATATAGATGGTTATGTGGTGTGATTCTTGGAGTTAACCAAATTGTTGATTCTGTGTGGATGCCTAGTTTTCAATTGTTAATATCTCGTAATATTAAATCAATAGTCAAGATCTTCGGAGTTTGATGGATTAGATTTTCGCTTATATTTAAATAAGTTTAATTCGATTCACGACTAAAGTTTCCGTTTGCACTGCGAGTACCTAAAAACACACTGAAAGACTAATCGATGGTAGCCCGGATGCATAATTTTTTCGTTTTTCGGATGCATAGAATCGATATGGAATACTGTCGAGTATATCAATGATAGTAACTTCCGTACGGAGAAGTTTTTGTAAGTTGAAGTTGATTAAATTGTATCTCCGACAACCATTAGCCAAGACGATTACATGAATTGTCTATGTTATCTATTGAAAAAATATAACAGAAATATTTTGATTTGACTAATTTGATTAGTAGTTTTACTAATCAGAAGTAGGATCAAGATTGTTCTATTGAGTTGAGTTCGGCAATTTGTGAAGTCATAATTATATTAATTAGGGGTCTTAAGGTATAGGTCCCGCGTGACAATACGTAATAGACTATGATGACAAACCGAACTGAAACTGTGATTCACATCT